CATGAAGGAAACTCAAAGCCTCTTTTCTGAACTGAATGCCCAGTTGGCTACGATAATAGGAGTGAAGCTAAGGGACCATTCACAGCCTTATCTCCAGACAGCTGAAGTCATAGATCTTGAGAACCAGAGAGGATGCGCTGGGTGTACTGGGAACACCCTGAGTGATGTGGAAATATGAGAGTGTGGTTTCATGGAGGGTAAACTGGCTTCACTGGAACACTCTGGGAAGACTGAGAAGTTGTTCTTCCACTCAGGCTTTTCCCAAAAGATAGGTTGTTTTGTGATGCATATCTTTAATTTGCTGAAGTGGAACTCATTCAATAACAGGTTTAGAATGTAGCAGTAATACTTGCTCAAATAGCGTGGCGACTGTCATAGTATGACTAGTGAATGATTCTTAGATGACCAGACATGCAGGTCTGTATCTAAAAAGATCTTTGCATCCAAACCTCCAAAGCAGATTTAAATTTCCAGTATGCTTTGGACATCTTTTGCTAGCCTGTGAAAGTGTAGGTTTGATTTAACTCGGCAGCATAGCAAATCTAAAGGTACTACAGGTTTCTCCAGTAAATGACAAGCTTTGAAGGTGCAGAGAAACCGTAACTGTGGTCTAAACAAGAGGTAGACTCCTCTTAAGAAGATTCAAATAGACTCTTGTGGAGACTTGATTAAACAAATGCAACCCTTACTAATTTGGTAACTCACTAAAGATCTGCTCCATGTAAGAGTGGTGTGGGGATGAGTGTGATTCAAATTCATTTGGTTAACATTATTCAGCTTTGTGTGTAGGTGTCATTCTGTCTTGAAGCTCAGGCTTCCAAACATGAATTGCTTACCTTTGGGTTTCTGCTTGTAACTGTCTGATGTTTTTTCCTCTCTTGGAAACTTCTGATCCGTTAAATGAGATTTTTGGGGGACTGTCTTGAGATGCATCAGCTGCTCACAGAGCACATGCAGAATTATAGCCTGGCATGTGAAGATAAGCCACCCTTTATTTCACTGGTTTTTAAAATACCCTTGTATTGCAACAACTTAGCAGTTGCCTCCAGAGCAACTCAACTCTGGTAATGTGCATCTATATATGAGCAAGAATGGTGGGGGTGAACTTCAGCAGTTGTCTTCTTCCAGTCAAGGTATGTGTGAGAGGTTGACACCTCCCTCTGCCTTCCCTCCTCAGGAGCTGCAGATAGCAGTGAGCTTGCCTCTCAGCCTCCTTTCCTCCAACTTGGGCAGCCCGGTGCCCTCAGCCTCTCCTCACAGGACATGCCTTCTGTCCAAGTTTCAACCACTTCCTCCTTTAAGTGTTTATTTCTTGCACAAACTCACCTTCATTAGTGGATTCGGCTAAAAAATTTAACTGTGAAGATAAGCAGTTAAGGCACACCTTCATTACTGCAGAAGCAGAACCACTATGTGGCAGAAGGTAGTAGCTATTGGTGGATGCCATGTTTTTCTTTTTCCTAACCTTTTTCATTACTCCCCAGCCTCAAGACAGAAGTCTCAAGCTTCAAAAAAGGAACTGCTTAGGGAATTATGTATAACTTGAGTAAGTGTGAATGATGCTTGCTCATACTCAAATACCATACTTCTATTAAGGACGCACTGATGGGAAGTTCTAAATGGACATGAGTTACAATTACTTGAGACTTCTTTGATATGGTTCATTTATCATAGAAGAACTAATTTTGTTCCTGATAATGATTGCTAGTACCTAATATTCTCAATTGACATAGGATTAGTGTCCTTTCAATTGCTAAAACTTTTAACCATAATTAAAATGATGTACAAGAATTGAAAGATATTTTGGGCTACTAACCTGGTTTGTAATAGAGTGACTGTAAATCATGCAGTAGAGACAGACACTGTAAATCATGCAACTGGTCATAAATTGTATTTTGAAATATATTAGTTTTCCAGGATCTTACGACATTGTTAGCTTATCAAGGGATTATGACATTTTCAGGTGGTTATTGAAGATTTGAATGTAAAGGAACTATAGCAGCCAGTCTTAAGAGGCTAGTAACAAAATGATGTAATGAAGAAGAAGATCTGTGTATGGAATCATAGAATGGTTTGGGTTGGAAGGGACCTTTAAGATCCTCTAGTTCCAACTCCCTGCTGTAGGCAGGGACACCTCCCTCTAGACCAGGTAGGTCACAGCTACATCCAGCCTGGCCTTGAATGCTTCCTGGGAGGGGGCATCCATAACCTCACTGGGAAACCTGTTCCAGTGTCTCACCATCCTCACGGTAAAGAATTTCTTCCCAATGTCTAAACCTACCCTCTTCCAGTTTAAAGTAATTTCCTCTTGTCCTGTTGCTACATGCCCTTATAAAAAGCCCCTCCCCAGCTTTCCTGTAGGCCCCCTTCAGGTACTGGAAGGCCATTGTAAGGTCTCCCTGGAGCCTTTTCCTCTACAGTCTGAACAGCCTCAGCTCTCAGCCTGTCCTTGTAGGGGAGGTGCTCCAGCCCTCTGATCATCTTTGTGGCCCTCCTCTGGACCTGCTCCAACAACTCCATGTCCTTTCTGTATTGGGGGTCCCAGAACAAATGAGATTAAACCAAATGTCTAATACTGAAGATAGTGCAAGTAGTCATACCTTGGCATATGAGAATGCTAGCTCAGACTTTGCCCAGTGTATACTTTATATGTAGATTATAAAGAAAAATCAGCAGTGGGAACAAAGATTCAGGAAGTACTGGAATTGCAGCTGGACTGTGCATTTCCTTATGTTTAAAGGTGAGAAGGCCTTAAAGGTTCAGCAGCCAGCGTCACAGAGTAGAGTTGGCATCTCCTCTTGTAACATGAGCACCATGTGGAATTGGAGGACAGGTCTGTTTCTGGGACAGAAGTGAAGCTGCCTTTTTCCAATGCTGAGTCTCTTCAGCCAAGTGACAGGCTTGTTTTGTTTTTTTGTTTTTTTTTTTGAAGTAACTTTCTAACTTCAGAGGCACTTTAAACGAGGGAAGTCTAAAAACTGAAAAAGCCTGCACACCGTACTTGCAGTCCTGCTATTTCTATCGGCTTTTGTAACTCAAAAGGTAAAATTTCCTGTAACAGATATGACAGTTACAAGGAGAAAGAAAAGCTTCTATCTGCTGTTAATCAGGAGGATGCAGTGGGAGGTGCATCAGGTATGCTGTGATTAAGTAATCCATTAATCAAGTTTTAGAGCCAAACACTCATTCTTCTCTGTAGTGACAGTAGAGACAATTTACAGCTGTGAATTGCTGTCTTGAGTTCTCGAAACTTGCTATGTAGTTGAATACTTCGCTTGTGCCTAGCAGAGTGTTATAATGTGATAATCATGCATTCTCTGAATTTAATGCTTGTAATATTTTTAAAAATCGGAGTATTCTTTTTCCTTACTGTCTGCCTGGATTTTTCTTAGCAAGCGTCAAAAACATTTGCAATTCATCTTTTTTTAGGAATTCTGAGATCATCAGTGTAGCTGGAAGTCAGACTGGTAGAACATGCACAAACAGCTTCTGTGGGGGATGGTGACTGCTACAGAAATTGGAAGAAAGCGCATCGCAGCGAATAGTTACCAAAATAAGAGTAAATCTGATGTTGCAAATTCTAACTAAGTCTTAAATAGACTTAGTATAACTTTTAAAAGGGACTCAAAATTTAATTGACATACTTGAATTTTTGTACGAAGCTGCTAGTTGAACATAGTGTAATTACTTACTGTATGTTGCTTCGCTCATCTTGAAAACAACAGCAACAGGCTTGCTTTTTACTCTTTGTATGAAAACACTGCAAGTTGCTCAGTCTTTGTCTCCAGCCATCAGTTTGCATCCTTAGAACATGCATCAAGTTTGTGTTCAAAGATCTAGCTAGGAGCTAACTTCTGACTTTGGGGGCTGAGGAGGACTATTCAGATGTTAGCTTGCTAGCTCCTTTATGGAAGCTGCCCACGTGTTCTGTATTGATCAAGGTAGTTGCCATCAGTGATGGGAGGGAGACTTGGTTAAGCTGTCTCTGTAGGATAAGCATCCCCATGAGTTGTTTGGGGAATAACTTAAATCTCCATGCCCTGTTCATGCTGTAGTAACTTGTTCCCATGCTTTCTTCTTAAGTAGTTAGAATGACTTCGCATTACTGGATGCAGGCAGCTTCTTGAAACTCCTCTCAAGATTCTCTGGCATCAGTTAAAATATTTGAAGATAATTGAAGAAATATTTTTGTCCGAGGAAAATTGCTGCCTTAAAGCCCAAAAGAGCTAGCTGACCAATCCTTTTCTTTCTGTGAAATACTTTTTGTTGTTGTTGAGACAAGAAGCCATCACAAACTGGAAATAAAGATTTTTAGGACTGTTTACTGAACTCACTTGCTTCCAAAGAGTCCATGTCAATAATAGAATAGCTCTACTTCCCAGAGTCATGGGTATCAACATGTTTAATTAGAGCTTATCAACTTTTTTATTGCTGTATCTTGTCTTTAGAATTGATTTCAGAGTACTGTTTTCTTTAAATGAGTGTGACAGCCAATTCTGGAGTATTTTAATTTAACTATTGTTAGAGGTATCACTTACCCTCTCAAGCAATAAATTAAATTGCTTGAATTCCTAAGACATCTAAAAGCAGTGGAAATGAATTGGTTTCCATTTTGGATTCTGTTGTCAGGGTGTTGCTTATGCACTAAAATAATTCTGAGAAATCTTTCCTTGGCTTGGAGTTGAGGGCTAAGAATTCTGTATTTCTCTTACACATAAGTATTTGGGGAATGTTAAGAACAGCGCACATTCTTTCTAACCAGCTCTTTCCCTGGAGAAGGGGTTCCAAACCAGGCAAAGACTCAAAATTTTGTGGAATCTGAATAGTAGGCAATTAGGTTTAGGTTTAGCCAGTACCAGAGGTGAGAAGCATTTTCTTTTGGAAGATGGAATCCTCTGAGCTTAGTCAGTGACCTGATCCTCTGAATGACCTAGAGCTGTTCCTCCAAATGTCTGACCACTGACCTGTACTGTTCCAGAACCAATATCCCCTCTCTGAGATGTAGGATGAATTGGTGAATTTCTCCATGGGTGACTGCAGGTAGGTAAAGTTAATTTTCTTGATCTGCCATGTTAATGTTTGAAACTTTTTTCTCATGGAAACAATTAAGAGGAGTTTAAGAGTACTATTCACAAGGTCATTCAAAATACTGCTTTCAAAGAGATAAATATGCAAAGGCATCATGAAAATTTTAGTGAATATACTGCAGCTTCACAATGCAACCAGAATGTCAGGGTCTGAACATTATGAGAGTTATGGTGTCTATGAAGCTCTCAGAATGATAATGTTCTTGTGAAGGGCTATTTGCTTAATTCCATACTTGAACAACTAGTTCATATAAGTCTGTCTCAGAGACATCTTCAAGGAGTGACTGCATTTAGATCCTTTTTTGGCCTGGAGCTGAGCTCCAGTTACAACTTCATTTGGCTTAATATCACTTGGGGAGATTAAATGATTAGCTTTTCCATTCCTCAGACATGTAACAAATCCTAAAAGCAAATATGAAGGGCGACCAGCAAACTAAGTTCTACCCCTGTAACCTTGCTTGCCCCCCAAAAAATCAAACCTGCTTTTGTGACTATTGTATCAAGCCAAATTCCTTTCAGATGCCCCAAATGGTATTTAATCTTGCCTAAATTCTTGAAGTTCTTTATTGTGTGGTTGCTTTCTAGGAAGGCATTACAAACAGTAAGCATACAACTTCTTCATTCACCACTAGAATAGCATTTTTTTTATTCCTTGACCATCTTAAAGGCCATCACTTTGATTTGCTTTTGTTTGGAGACGTGTCTGAGAAAATGTCCAAGAGCCACTTTTTCCCACTTTATCTGATCAGGGTAGAAAGCTGATTGTGAGTTCCTTATGTGATGCTGAGGATCCTTAAAACATGTGAACCCTTTAAAATGTTTCTGTTTCAGTTGATTGTTTTGCTTGCTTTCTTCCTGGATTCAGTATGGTGTTAGGGTACAGTTCATGTGAAAATCTTATTTTTTGAAAAAGAGCAGATTTCCTAGTTTTCCTTTCTAGCTAAAACTTACACCAGACATCTGCAGAATTCATGTGAGTAGCTGTGCATATAAGTACTCAGTTGTTCAAAGCCAGTGCTTTTTGCAGTTAGGGTTGGGAAATAGGCCTTTATTTTTTTTGCATGCTTCCTGTTCTTTAGTGCCTACATAGAGACCACAGTTGACAGCACTGTCCTGCCTAAGTTAGAAGAACAAAAAAGCGAGGGAAGTTGGCATTGCTCCTGTTTCTCAAAGGCTTGTCTCTTTAAGGGTAGCCAGCCTTCAAAGCAATGTAAATTTCCATTAAAATACTCTCCTTAAGAGAAGTGGGAAGGTAGGGATTCAAATAACTTATTTGGTTTATTTAGTTTGAATAAGTTTGTAATGATTTGTATCTGGTTGCTGGGTAATTCTATGGGTGCTTCTTATGATCCTCTGTCCAATCTTGTTTTTTGCTTACCTATGGCTCAGTAACTATTATACCATCTTCTTTTCTATTGGCACCTTCCTGAGTACATCCGTTTCTCAGGACTGATAGCTTTAGAATGAAGGAGTATTATCAAAATGTCAGGTTAGTGTAATCTGGCAACTATTCTTGAGGAGCTACTCTCAGCTCCTGTCTTGATAGTGCAGGTGGCTTCTTAATTTACATGCTCTTCACCAGTAACTTCCTCCTCCCTCCTACCCCCCCAGTTGTGGTGGGAGGAGAAAGAACAAAACACGTGAAATGCAAGGGAAAGACTCTATAAGGAGAAGCTGTTTATGGTTCATACATGTTTCAGAGAAGCTAGAGGAAAAAAATCAGGCATAGATGGCTATCAGTCCACCAGGAGATTGAGTTTCTGTTTCAGGTTTTGTAGTGTGCATAGCTTTTAACAGTGGAACATCTTATGTTAGTGTCTTACGTGAGGCTTAATGGCTTATGTTATTTCAAATGCCATCAGGGTAACTGAATGATTGGGTATTTTATGGCTTAAATCTCCTCTTTCATACTTCATCTTCCATCTTCTTCCTCTGCTCCCATCACTTGTGATAAATGAGTCAACGTTTCCATGTCAGCACTAGATGGAGCTGAACATAGTATTAATTCTGGAAGAAAGTGTTGATTCAGTCTGAAAAAGAAAGTAAAGTAGGAACGAGGTCTCAAATGCAAGCAGTTGGTACAACACAAGGTACAGAAGGATGAGTTTGAGCTCGAGTACAGTCAGGGCAGACTGGTCAGGAATCACTGGAAAATCAAGTTCAGGCAGCACTGGTGTCCTAGTTCAGGTGGCTGAGCATGCTTGTAGCCAACAGCAAGCTGACCACTGGAAAATGAAGTGCTAAGATTTTCTTGCACTGAATAGCATGGCAGACCAACAGCTTCTTGCTCTGTAATCTGGTACTTTGTTAGCTGAGGAGGCAAAGCTCTGTAGCCAGAAAAAAAACTTTTTTTTGTTATGAAAGCTCTTCTTTTATTAGCAGTTAATAGAAAGGTGAAGTGACATCAGGGCTGCTCTTCAGAGCCTGTGAGGTGGTACAGCTAAGTGGAAGCGGATGATGCTGCTTCTGCTTCATGCGGTGCTCCAGAGATGTCCGTGTTAATCTTAAAGTGTACTGGGGAGTAGGTTGTATTGTGTTTTGCTCCAAGAAGTTATGGCTGGACTGACAGTAAAGCAGTGCAGGAATGTGCAGCTACCTCTGTGCTGTACAGGGGCTGTGGGTGCATATAACTGAAGCATTACTGTGTGCTTTTGGTAGTCAAGGAGTAGTTGTGCAAGTGGCAGACAGGTTGTCATGGGGAAGGGGAAGTTAGCACTTTGGTTGCTCGTTGCTTGAATTTGGAGAAAAGGTCAGAGAAACATTTGTTGAGCATGCTGCAGACGTTGACACATGTACAGAGATGTTAAAGCTTTTTGCTTAGGTATTTTGTGGATGAAGAGGATTGGCTGACCAACCTGTGATCGCATGCATGTGCTTCAATTACGTACTGCACTAAAAGTAGTGAAACCAGCTCCTGGGTCTTGTAAAGCAGCTGGATACATAGGACTGAGCTTCCAAACCTGGCTGCCAGAAGAAGCCCTGGCTTGTGTTAAACTCTGCTGGAAGTCACCAATGACTCAAACCAGTCAGTAAAACATATTTGGTATGTGCTGCTTAAGTTCTATTACTTCTGAATTACTGTCAGCCTTTGTTACTGACGTTTCTACTTTTAGTTGCTAACTTCAGACTGAATACTGAGAAATTCAGCTCAAACCATTCTTTGCAAGACAGCAAAATTGCTGCAGTTCACTCAGATTACAGTGCTGGGATTTCCCCTACACCCACTGTGTCTTATGTCATTCTAGTGACACCTTTCCAAAAATAAAGGCATAAATGAATGTTTGTTTTAAGGCAGTGACAGGTAAAGTAATTGCAGACTTAATTTGTCAGGAGTTTGAAAGGTGCTTTTCATTAATTAGAGATGATGCCTTTTATAGAATCATAGGATGGCCTGAGTTGAAAAGGACCATAATGATTATCCAGTTACACACCCCCTGCTATACACAGGGTTGCCAATCACCAGACCAGGCTGCCCAGAGCCACATCCAGCCTGGTCTTGAATGCCTCTGGGGATGGGGCATCCACAACCTCCTTGGGCAGCCTGTTCCTGGTGTTTGCAGTGAGGCTTGGTACGTATGGCTTGGTAGGTCTTATGGAACATCTCCAAGGGTGCAAAATAGATTATAAACGTGGTGTGAATGGTTTGGTATAGGAAGAGTGCTTTCAAAGGGTAGAATGAGAAGTTCTTCTGTTAGGTATGAGAGTGTTGCTGTTGAGCAGTCTGTCCTGCCTTGCTTCCGCCCCTCAACTTTTCTTCCATGGCAGGGTGGAAGTATGAAGGCAGGTAACTCAGCCTGTTGAGTGCTGGAGTGTGTGCGGGGAAGGAGCAGAAAGCTTCTTCCTGAGGCAGTGGGAGCAGTTCTGTTAACTCAGCTGCTTGCAGGGCTGTCAGAGGGATCTTCAATTGAGCAGTGAGACCCAAAGCCAGGCCCCAGCATCTGTGTTGGTTCTGCAGGTTAGTTCTCGGTGAAGGTGAGTAAGCAGACACAGCGGACAGCCATAGGCAGGCACACAGCCAGCGTGGAACTCCTGGCCTGCTGGAGAGGAATGGTCTCAAAGGGTGTTTCGATTGCCTCGAGATAGTTTTAAACCACAGCCGTTGTAACTGCTTTAGGTATCTAGCAGAACATTAATCAGTTCTCAGATTTAAGCACGTGGTTTTCATGTAGATGTTTTTGTTGTTTTTTGTGTGTTTGATTTGGTTTTTGTATTTTTTCAAACTAACTTTTGGGATCCTGCTGTTCTTTTCTGAAAAATGCCTGCTTCTTGGGAAGAGATAGGCTTAATTTTCTTACACAAGTCTCTCTGCAAATAATTTAGCTTTTAAATGTTTCAGAATGAGAAAATTCACACTTACCTCCTCTTGGATAATTATTTCTTACTGATGGTAACTGTTAGCTCTGCTATAACAGGGTTTACTCAATTTTCCTTTTATGACAGAACTCTAATGTGATAGAGAATGTGCTATTTAGCTGAAGGTTTGCAGCATTTTATTGCAGCTTCATTAAGAGTTGGTGGTTTGACGATGACTGCTGTATATTTAAAAATCATGAAGCCTTTTTATCAAACATAGTGAAGTGAATTGCAGTGTCATGATTGTGCGTTCTGGATATAGAACAAACTTTGAGTGAACCAATAGAAACTTTGCCTGAGATTTGTATTGTGGTTTATGAGGAATAAAAAGATGCTGTTCCTGATAGAAATTTCCCATCCAGCATTTGAGCCAGCACTGATGATGTCAGTGGTACACTGCAGTTCTTCAGAGGAAAGTGGAGATGTTGTTTCGTGCATGTCAGCTTATATGAGTAAAATCACTTACACGTGTGTGCATATGAAATTATAAGAACTTGTGCAGCATGACATAAATTTGGGGGGTTGGATGAGGAAGGGATATGTAATAGTGTAATAGCTCTGAAATTTAAGAAATGTTTTTAGAAGGTCTGTGTCAATACCATAGGTAATGAACGTTCTCTGCAGTAATAGAGCAATAGCAGCAGCAGTTCACCTGGTAAATTCAATGCTGTGAACGTGTTTGTAAAACTGCAGTCTCCTCAGGCATCTGAGTGAATCTGGGATATAATGATTCAGGTCTGTTCCTGCAAGATGCATAGTGCAGAAAACTTGTGAGTGAAAGAAAGATCCTGAGAACCCTGTGAAATACTTCAGTGCTTGTTGTGACTATTGCAGAGAGGTCCTGTGGCTTGGTTCCTCTAGAAGACCTTGTGTGTGCTTGTGTGATGAACACTTATCACTGACTGGGGTGTTGTGACAGAATTCATTTAACTGTCAATAGGAGCAAATTAATTTCTACACCTAATTCTTCCTTTCTGCGAATAAAGGGTGAAAACTTCTACGTCATAAAGTCCTGTTAAAAAGAAGAACTTAGAGATACTCTTTGGTGTAGTGCAAGGAAAGTAGTATTGAGGATTATTGTCCTTAAGTGTCTGTAGTTTCGTTATTGTACAATAACTGAACGACATCCTGCTTATAATGGTATCTAATAGCTTATATTGGTATTTAACTGCTTTTGCCTTACACATTTGAGAGAACAGTGTCTGTAGTAATGCTAAAGTAGCAGTCCTGATGAACAAAGCTGGTAAATAATTTGTTGTGTGTTTTAGGTATTGAGGGCAATTTCTCTCTTGCACCATGCGTGAATACAAGCTGGTGGTTCTTGGTTCTGGAGGTGTTGGAAAGTCTGCTCTGGTAAGTATTGTGAGGCAGTTAAAGCATATTTCCAGATCTTCATCTTTCTCTGACTCTCTCTATTAACCCCTATTACTTTCATGTGAGTAAGCGCAAATAAACATAAGTAACGGCTGCTGAGGGTTCCTGGTTACAATAAGTACACTCTTTGCAGTGTGCTTGCCAGTGCTTTCTTGGTGTATTCACCTCCATTGGTGCAGTTTGCACGCTGTTATTTCTGGATGAGTTTGGTTGTTGGTGCTTGGTCAGACCTTTGCATATCCTATGCAGTGAAATGCGTAGCCGCTGCAGTATGAAGGTCTCTGGCTTCACTACCAGACTGGCCATAGGTCTGTGGGAAATGAAGCTCTTTTGGGAGGCCAGCAGGGTGAACTGGCTTGTGTGTGCCTGGCTTTGCTAACTTCTGTCTGTACAAAGTTCTTTGGGGTAATATTCCACGGTAGTCTCTAAAGCACTAATTTATTTTAAGTGCAGATACTTCTATCCATTTGTCTAACGTGTTTTCAACACTTTTGCTAGCAAATAAGTGAACAGCTATAGCAGGTAGATGACCGTACACCAAAGAGCTTGTGCATTTCAGTTAAATTAATACAGAGAAGTTACAGTCATATCAACCTACACTAGCACTAAAGAAGTTCACAGAATGAGATCTTCTCAGCCCACCTGAGAACTTCACATCTTTCCGCTTAATTGTGTACAAATTGTGTACATTATCAGAAAGTAAGATCTAAACATTTGTAGTTTTAAGTGCAAAGGAATTACTCTTGTACAGAGGAGTTCCTAAAGGAAGACCTACTTGACAAATCATTTTAGATTGTGAAATAACTTTTCCCTTCACTTCACAGTTCTTATTTTACTGTAGCATTTCTGGATTTGAACATGTCTGTTCTGAATTGGCCGGTCTTAAAGTTCCACTCAGGCTAAAATTGTCCTACATGCTAGGTATACAAGAATATCTTAGTCTATTTAAAGCTAGTAAATACTGGCATTTGTTTTTTGAGTAATTCCTGTGCTTGCAGGTGAGCAATGAAAGATGCAGTAGTTCTGAATACAAATGTAGAAGCCATTCAGCTGTGCAGTATCCTCTTCAACTAATAATGATTCCAATAGTTAGACAAACCTTTAATCAATGCTTATGCTCTGAGTGACAGTGGCTAGAAGAAGGTGTAGTATTACTTTACCTGACAATATTTAATCATATAAGAAAATACCTCTAACTTCCTGTCATTTCACTTAATTTATACTTGTCTGTTGCTTAGTTTGCTTTCCAAAATGCAATGAATAACTGAATATACACATAGAATGGTAGTTTTTAACTTCTTGTATGCACTGTGCACTGTACAAGAAGGATCTTAGAAGAACTTTTGTGTTGCAGACTGTACAGTTTGTTCAAGGAATATTTGTTGAAAAATACGATCCTACGATAGAAGACTCCTACAGAAAGGTAAGTGTAAAAACTCTTGTGCTTAAGAAACTTTAATGCTTCAGGCTGCTGTAGATGTTGTGAAGCATTAGAGCTTTTACTTTAAAAAGGGTGTGCTTGATAATGTCATATACTATCTGCTAACTAAAGTTTGAAATGTAAAGATGCTTTTAAAAAGTGTGCCTAAAAGGAGTAATGCAAGGCTAGTATTTTAATGTTTAAGCATAATACCTACTAGCTAGTCAGGAAAAAGTGGTAATTTTATTGTTGGAATTAGGAACACTGAAGCACTAAAAAAAATATATTTTATATGTAAATATATAATTTCATGCTTACTAATATGCTACCACTTTCATTTTTTTTAATTATTTTCCTATATGAGTTTACATGGATATGTATGCACAACTACATTCTGAGTTAGGATCTGCAAGTAGACTTTGACCTGGATTCCAGAGTTTTCAAACTTCTTTGCTGCTAAGAAAATGTACTAAACCCAAATTCAGACTCACCTTCAGAATGCAAGCGGCAATGTACTGCATTCCTAACAGTTTCACTGATCTGCTTGATATGGTTCCATTAAATGGGTTGTTGTTTTATTAATAAGTTGACACAAACGTATCATAAATAAACAGTGACCTGTTAGTTTCTCTTCCCATCCTCAGCATGACAGGCTGAAAGGTCTGACTTTGCATGCATCGTCTTGAATTCTCCACATTGCTCGTTTTTCACTGAGACCATGATTAATATTCTTAGCTAAGACAGTTCACATCTGGATTACTGACAAAATGGTTAACTGTTTAATGAAGCAGATCAGTGTCAGTTTCTTAATGTTGTTCATTTTTTAGCTGAATTACTTTCCAAATGTGTTGATTCTCTGATGTAGCTCACCCATGGGGGGCCACAGAAATATTGGTGTTATGCGAGGAAGGCAAGATGCACAAACCATGGGTAGGGATGGACTGAGCAGAGCCTCCTGTTTCAGCTCTAGGGCAGTATTGATAGTGGAACAGAGACTGCGTTAGCAGCCTTTGCAGTGTGGAGTTATTGGAGTTTGTTCTGAAAAGAAGAGGAATTAGCAAAACAATAATTTCACACTTGTTTTCTTTGACCTCACAGAAATCTAGCTCTGTCTGAAAGCCCGTATGCTCAGAGCTTTTTCAGCATACAGAAGTCTTATTAAAGAGACAGTGCTAGCAAAATAAAAACCCAAAAATGTAACAATGTTTTTTATGTTAGATGAGCAGGAATTGTGGAATCGTAATGTTCAGTGAGTCTGACCCAGCAAAGACTTGCAACAGGTGACTCTGAAAATATGCACAAGCTGTATTAAAGTGAAATGTTTCCTTTGTTATATATTCACAGTATTCATGTCACATTAAATTTGTGATGTTTTCTGGATGAATTTGTCTACAGGCTGTTTCCATGGAGGCTGGAGAAGTTATCTCAAGAAAATTTGTGTTTTGACAATGATTTTTTTTTTTTTTTTTTTAGTGGTGATCTTACAATATTCATTTCAGTTTTGGTCCTAAAACAGAGGAATATGTCTGTATTCTTTTCAAATCAGTTAGATGAAGTCTTGCTTAAGTGTGGATGACACTTCATGATGTTATTTTCCTCACTCCAGTTAGTGTTCTAACCTGCTTCATGGGTAGTTTTAAAATACATTTATTGTGCAGTTACAATTCTGTATTGCTAATGTGAAATTTAAAGTATTTGAAGTTGAGAGGATGTGGCTTGAAGTATTTTTAAGTTTGTCTGAGCAGAAATGAAGAGTGCATGAATAGAATAAGTGAGCATGAAGTCTTAAAAGTCAGTCTTGATCTACTCCCCAAATATTTCTTCGTGAAGAGAATAGATGGTGCTTAATTAGCTGACTTTCTTTGTCAGCAGTCTGTGCTGAAATAGTGACTGTTGAAGAAATTTTCCGTCCCTGGGGAACATGAGGGAAGTGTGAGATGAGTGGAAATAACTTTTTCCTCCCTGAAGTTCTAATCTACTTACAAAAGAAAAGCTTAAAGTTAACCCGGAATTTTGTGCGCAGATGCAAAGAAAAAAAATGTGGGCAACCAGCCTGAAACAGTTTGAGGGCACTTTTATGTCCTGCTGCCCTCACAGCCCCTTTTGTTTGTTTGTTTGTTTTTTATTTGAGACTGACAGAGGAACTCTGAGAAGGATGTGGAAATTGATCTGCCTTTTTACACTTATGCAGTTTTTTTTTAAAGTTGGTTCAGTTTCTTAATTAGTGTCTCTAAAGGCTTAATTTTGTGAAAGTATACTTAGTGGCTTGCTTTGTGTATTGTATGCTGTATACCTCTTATTCTCGTAGTGATTTCACTCGCAGTTGAATGAGCATTAGTGTGCTAATTCAGATTTGTAGCATTCACCTGTTCTTTCAGTCTGTGAATGATATTTGGAACAAGTAGGAGTCCGTTGTGCTAGTTGCTGATATTGCAAATTCAGCAACCTTCCTTTTTAATAATCAAAAATTCTTAATCACTTTGCAGAGTGGTACTTGGCTGCTGAAGCTGCTTTTGAAAATGTCACTGGGGCTCTTTAGAAGGCCGTTTCCTGCTGGTTTCGGAGTGTATATCCATATAAACTTCTTAAGCCACTGTTGCTGTATGCATTATGAATCTGTTTATAAAGTCACACAATTGTTAGTAGTTCTAAAGAGAAGAGTTGCAAGAGGAAGCATTCTAACCACTTCTATTTCTCTTGACAGCAAGTTGAAGTAGATGCGCAACAGTGTATGCTTGAAATCTTAGATACTGCAGGAACAGTAAGTAAAACCAGTTCTCCCAAGTTGTGTACAGTGTTAAAGCTTTCAAAAACTATAAGGAGTTTAGTGTAAATGATGACAGGTTTCCTTCCTCGTTTGCAAAAGAGTAACCGCGGTCAATGTGGATGTAAGTTGTTCTTCAACAGAAGTTTTGTTCTTAACGCTAGAGAGTTGCAACAGAAAACAAATTGCAAGTTTCCTGTGATCTCATGTTCTGTAATAGGAGAAATATCAGTCTGAACGCTTTTAAAAGTGATTCTGCTGCTGTTTTAAATTTACAGTGCCTGGAGACAAATTTATGCCCAGTGTGGTTACTTGGTTTTGATTTCTGTTGCTGTAAAAATACGTACTTTCTTCTTCTCTCATTTCTCTGTTGTGCCTGAGACGGAATCCTAACATGAGGGTAGGAATAGTGTCTCTTTAGTCAGCTTATGGAGACTCAAAGCATAGGGTTTATGCTTACCCTTTGCGTGCTACTCACATTTTTTTCCTGTGTTGTTCCAAAATACACTGAAACCAGTCATATTTCTCATTGATTCCAGTGAACGTCCCTTGGAGTATAGTATGTGTTTTTTGAACTCTAATAGCAATCAGATCCCATAATCGTCTATTTAAACTGCAAAGCAGAGTATGGTTGTGTAAAACTACAGAAAGATTGAGTGGATACTCCCTTGTAATAGGTTGTGCTTTTCATCTCACGTGTAGTGTTTGGTACAGAGGTAGAAGAAAAACTTGTATATGAAAATATAGGCTTCTTGGGTACAAATATGCAAAAACTCAGTGTGTGTTTAGTATGTGGATATTTGGTATCCCCTATAAGCCTAAAACTGACATCACCACTTCAGCTGCAGATTTATTACCTAAATATCTTGTGTCATTTTGAAAACAATGTCACTGTTTTGCATTAGTGCTTGCCTCTAATCACAGAAGTGGAGATATAGTAAAGTCTTGATTAACGTGTTCCAGGCATCCAACCACGAAAGGGGTGGACTTATAAAAGAAACCAGAAGTTTGGAGGAGTTGCATATAAAATTAAGTCCCACTCCTCCAAAAAAAAAAAAAAAAATATATATATATATATATACATATATAACTGGATTTTAAAGCTGAAGACATGCAAACAGACAGAACTTTGAAATGTTTCCATTATTTAGCCTCATAAATCCTATTACACTTAGTTACGCTCCACTAGGAAGAGCTGCATGACCTGGAATAGTTGGATTGGAATACAGTTGTAGTTTGTGATCATGTACTTTCAATTGATAAACTAGCTCCTGGACTTGATGAGTGACTGATGAATCACAAGATAGCTAAGTCACCAAGGTGAGTAAGGCAAATGCTGTTCCAGTCATACTAGTGAGAGCTCTCAATCGGGGACAAATCCTAATGCTGCTGCTGTGTTGTGCACTGTTTTCACCGAAGTCTAGAAAATGTGACAAGTCTATTGAGCATCTCTATCCTCTATTAAATCTCCTTGAAAATGAAAGTAGGAAGTGTCTGGAATATAAAATTGAGATTGACTGGGGATGCAGTTACTTTGCAATGTATTTCGAAGAAAAAACAGGAGACAGGAAAGAGCTGAAATAGGATGCAGGAGGAATGCAACATCTGTAATCTACAATGTACTTGTTCTCTCTTTTCAAATTATTTCAGTTTCTGTGATGACTTTTTTTTGTCAGTGCTATAGCCTTTGGCGGTATCTAGATATTGTACAAACACCCTATATAATGTTCCAGGCTTGGGATTTGTTTAGAAGTGGCTTAACTAACTTTAGTGCATACAATAAAACAGTAAAATACTAGTTTAAAAAGGGGAGAGCACAAATGCATCATACTTTTAAAACATTTGTAACCTGAAGTATGTGGCAGTTTGTATAAAGAAAGTGCAAATTTAATGCAAGCTCTGTACCTTTTTTTTAATTACAGGAACAGTTTACAGCAATGAGAGACCTATACATGAAAAACGGACAAGGTTTTGCATTAGTATATTCCATCACAGCACAGTCGACGTTTAATGATTTACAGGATCTAAGAGAACAGATTCTTCGAGTCAAAGACACTGATGATGTAAGCATCTCTCTAAATGCTAAAGTCTTCTGCAGTTCTCATTGCAATGTTGTAGTGTTTACACTTTGGTCAGGTAGGTTTCATGCTTTAGGTAAGAAACAAATCAACCAGCAGATGCGTAGTAAAGAAATGCAACTCTTGAGGCAGAGCAGGCAACACATAACTTGTCATGCACTCCATAAAGAGAATTGTTTAATTTCTACCTTTCAAATGCTTAACTTGAAACTATACATAACTTTATTCTCTAGGACTGCAGCAACATGTCTAAAGCAACTGTATTTTTACTTCCATTACTACACAACAAAGTTTAAAAAAGCCTACAGTGTTTCTCACTGCTTGTGGTATTTTGAAAACAAAATTAAATTTTTCCAGAAGACTGTATTGAAAGCTTCAAACTTGTGTGTTCTGTAGCCTTACATTTTGTACATTCTTGTGAGCATGTTTGGTCATACTGTTTCCACACAATTTCAGCATGCAGCCCTTAGCATTATTAACATATGAAGTGAAGTTAAAACAAATCTATAACTGATTAAAAAATCTTAACCTTGGTAGAAAGGGACTACTTCTTCCATTAATAAAAGGAAAGGTATTTCAAATTTCAAACATTATAAAGCCATTATAAACATTTCAAACATTATAAAACTATTTTTATCAGAAATACCTTGCATGCTGAGGCAGTAGGCAGAGGAGGGGAATAAGATCTTATTTAAGCTGCTGGTGGAATCTATGATCCCTTCCTTCAAATATCTGTATACGCTTCAGCTCTTGGCAGACATATTTTTCAATTTCATTGAAGCTTACTGTGACTCTTACAAAGCACTTTGCAATTTATTAAGCCTGTGCATCTCCAGGTCTTGCCTATATTCAGTGGATTTTATCTCAAAGTGATTTACTACCCATTATCACAAGCGTATCTTGAGAAGGCAGAATTTAACTTTCACACACCTCTTCTTTCCAAAACCTAAAAACTGCCTTTTTATTTTAGTATTAATGTTGTACAGAGTTGAACTAAAATCAAAATAATTCTCAGGATATTCAAAACCTTAATTTCTGAGCTACATTCATTCTGGTTAGCATAAGCCTTCCTTGGTCATATATGGAATTGTATTGCCTAAAGTTCCTCTCAATCTTCAAATACATGCCAAGGATTTTTGAACATGTTGAAGTCTTGTAGCTGAGTCATCAGTAGACTTTTTGATGCCTTTAATTTTAACAGTTGATGTCTATGCATGTGAAAGTAAAATCCCATTAGAACACTTAGTACATGTAAAATTTACTTAATTAGTGGTTTGTATGAATCCAACCATTTGCAACTCCATACAAAATGGCAGACAATAAAAAATGCAGTCACTTTGAAGCTTCACAGAAGTGTAAGCTTAAGTTTCAGTTATACCAGAACTCAGTTATGCTGGCAGTCAGGTATCCTACATTGTGCTTTTCCAAATTGTTAATGATTTCTATGCTAACACTGAATTGTTTTTTAGGTGCCTATGATTCTGGTTGGCAATAAGTGTGACTTGGAAGATGAAAGAGTTGTGGGAAAGGAACAAGGTCAGAACCTAGCAAGGCAATGGAATAATTGTGCATTCTTAGAGTCTTCTGCAAAATCAAAGATAAATGTTAATGAGGTAAGGCATGATACCTGTGTGATGGAACGGTGGCAGATAAGAATGAGACAACATTTTGTTAACTAAATGCTACCATACGTCAGGAAAAAATCAAAAATAACTTTGATTGTAATGGACAAAAGTATACCCTGTTATTTTGAGAATCTATGATTAATTTATATCAAGGGATACAGTTCACTTTTACTTAAAACTTCAAGTTTTCAGAAGTAGCTGATTGGAAAGGAAAAAATGAATAGATGCTCTGCAAAAAATAAAATAAAACACACAAAAAAAGCATCTCTTGTATATTGCTACTTATTTAGCAGGATCTAGGCATCTGATCAAGCACATGCATTTATGCATTTTTAGGACATGCCATAGTATATGCTTTCTTATTCAGTGGGGGTGTATCAGCATAAAGAATCTGATGCCAAAAGCTTTTAGAAAAAGACTGTGTTTAATATTTACTTTTCTGGAACGGCTTGAATTTTATTATAAACCCTGCAGTTCATTGTGTGTGCTGGAAAATATTATTGACAGTGTCAGTCAAGTTGAACGGCCCTCTGTGCAAGACTTGTAATCAAATGAGTGTGGTGATTTTATGCACAGCTGACTTTAAAATGAGTAATGAATATTAAATTAGGATTTTCTGGAAACTACACAGTTGTTCTTAAAAATGCATTTGCTGAACTCTATAGTAAAGTTCTGTGTTTAATAAACTGGAGCTTATTTCCATCAAATACTAAAAGCCCTTGCTGGATAGTTTGCTCCTTTGCAAACAGTGCCCTAGAAAACTGCTAGGAGAGCTTTAGTGTGAGGACTTGATGTGCGAGATGCAGAAATAATTGGCACAATGTCAATTATGAACAAAACAGCTGCTATTTAACTGCAGTGCTTAGATTTGTCTTAAATCAGCTTTTCCACAAAGCTGTAGTCTAATTAGAATTCTAAGGAGACTCAAAGTGTGAGTCTTATGCTTTACCTGTCTAGGAAATGTAGTGTTGTAGTTTTGTAGAGGCTGCTGAATTAATTGGAAGTAATAGTGTGTGCTAGTTGATCGTGGTGGCATATTGTTATTTTCAGGTAAATTTGACCCACAGATCAAATATCTTCAGCAAAAGTAGACATACGTTAAGTGTGCAGCTTAGCTTTCCAGCTTCATGATAATTAAATATTAGCAGAGATCTTTGAGTATCTGAGTAAATAAGATTGAAGAGTTAAGGTTGTGAGGGAATCTTCTTAATTCCAGTAACCAACGGGCGTTTATATTCACAGATCTTTTATGACCTTGTGCGACAAATTAACAGAAAAACTCCAGTGCCTGGAAAAGCACGCAAAAAGTCATCGTGTCAGCTACTTTAATACATAGCTGTACTGTAGCTCTGAGCCAGGTAAACCTTTTTAAAATGTTCCGTTTTGTGTGTTTTGACTTGAAAAAACAAATGAAGCAAGCAAACAAGTACACTTGTAGCTTCTATTGTGCAGAACTGCATTAAAAAATTCCTGATATCTTGAAGTTTTTATGGTGTTAACTACAGAATTTGTGCAAGATGCACTATTCATACTGATACAAAAAAGTTTTTTCAAGCTTTAAGGTGTTGATGAAACTCCCATTAATGACACTTGTCCTGATACTTCCAACACTTAGCTTTTGGAAAAAGAACTTTTGTTTTTTGGAGGCTGATAAAACATACTGCAAGAGCTCAATTATCAGGAATGCACACTAAAATATTGATGTTTTTAGTATACAAACTACCACTTTAAACTCATCCTCATATTTGCATGGTGTTGCAGGAAAATTCCTTGTTTTCTTTGGACTACATGGATGTATTATATGCTGTGATATGGTTAGTGGTTGCATTGGGAAAAGGGTGGTGAAGGGATCATTGTAACACTCCAAATATTTGACCCGGAGCTACTGTTATTAAATTAATCTCCCTTGTTTTGACAATTTGCTGATGTTCTGCCTAACTAAAGCTGTGTTTTAAGAATGCTGTTGATGGCTCATGCAAGTTTCAGCCTGCCTCTTCAGTAAGCTTTTTCAAGAGTTAGTTGTGATATTTATTTTTTTTTCCCTACAACTTGCTCTTGAACAGTTTATTTCCTCCTCTCCCTCTCCAAGCCCTAGTTTGGGCAGAGGTCTTTCTTGACTGGCAAACCAGGAGGATTCCAGAGGCATTAGCTGAGAGTAACAGGTATTATTGCTGCCTTTCCTTAACAGGGCTTTCAAACTAAGAGCTTTGATTCTCCAAATGTGTGAGTGCAATTTCACAGCCATTGGAATTGTCCTAGTGTAAGAAATTAGTACTGCCCATCAAATATTGCTTCCACAGTTCAGTTTGGATTACCATGTGTATCCCAACTCAGTTTTACTTATTGACTTGTTGTTATTGTGCATGTACAGTAGAGGTTATATTAGTAGAGGAAAAGCAATCAGGTTATTTTCTGAGCATATTCACTAATAACTTTGCTAGTTCCTGCTTCAGTTTTTCTTAACTAGAGAGTAATGACTATTTGTCATGGTTTAACTTGTCATTTTGCTGTTACAGGTCTGAAGAACTGTTGCCCAATTCAACAGTGCCAGCATTCCAACTTTATTAAACCTACCAACATCTTAAATGGACTTTCCTGTGGTGGTACCCTTTAAGAAATGGATGAAAGCTACTACATCAGTTTGCACATTCTAATCACTTTCCAGTGTCACGAGAGATTTTTACTTATAAATATTCTAAGTGTATGCAACTGGTAAAACCAGAGCCTACATCCAGTATTACTGATAAGAGACATTGTTCATCCACCAATGTTGTACATGTATGAAAACTGTGTACTGTATACTTCAACAATCCCCACTTTCTATTGGAGAGTACAATAATGTAAATCCTAAAAGCACCACTATTTTAGCATAATAAAAGAAAGTCCAAAGAGCTCCTATATAGACTACTCCAGATAACTTTGCTTCATCGGTATTTGTAGCTTATTGTAACTTTTTTAAAGAAATACAGGATCATCATCATCGTATTGTACAAAAGCGCTTTGATTAACACAACAGCTATATAGTTTTTTAATTTTAGGAAAAACCTGTGGAGACAGTGATCTAGTCTTTAAGAGTCCTTTCAGTATAACGTCTGACTAAAGACATGGCCTTTAATATCTGTTGGGAAGGAAATGTCCAGACTTTTCAACCTTTTATTGTATGTTTCCTTTTCCTTGTTTACATAGGGAACAATGTTTATAGTTGTGTGTACAGTGGGGGTCTACAACAAGAAGTGTATATTTTAAAACGATTTTTTAATGATTTAACAATTTTTTGTAAATCATTTTCGGGCTTCTGCAGCTGTAGATTCTCACTGTGAATTCCCTTGCTTGCTCATGCATAAGTGTATTTGCAATACCAAATATACAGGTTTAGTACTTTTGCCTGTTAGTGATTGTTTTACATGTGTAACGTTTTGGTTGAGATGTTAAATGGTGGAAGAGTACTGTGGATGTGAATGTGGGAAGTAATTTTAATCATGTGTAATTGGTCACAGGGCCTAAGTTGCAGTAATTAACTTTTTGCTGATTTATTTAACAATGCCTTGTTGCTTTGTATGCATTAACGTTTGGGTGTAAAGATTGTGTGTATATCCAACAGGGAGCCACAGTATTTAAATTGACCAACCTAATGTTACAACTGCTTTGAGGTGGCCAAATGTAAACTAAAAGCCTTAATTAAAGTGGTGCAATTTTGTATGACTTAGCATCAGTAGTTCAATAAATTTGGATTGCCATGCAAGGGCTTGCATTACAGTTATATACTACTTGAATGTTTTGTGTTTTGATAGAGCTAGTAAATATCGATTCTAGACCTCTTGCACAGTGCAGACTCATACATCATATGACGAAAAGGAACACTTATTGCTTTGTCTTTGGACAAATACATGCCACAGATACTTCTTGTAATAGCATCACATGTACTAGGGCGGAAGAATTTCTGAGTGAAACTTCATTTACTGCTTTGGACGTGGGATATTTGAAATGCTAATGTAAGACTAGCTCCCTTACTGAAAAGTGTGTTTTCAAAAGTAGACCAGCAGTGACTTTTTTGGGAAACTAAGGATATGTTGCCTGTTCTTTTCCTTCTTTCTAGGAAGAATCTTTTGTTAGAATTAAAGGAAAGAATATATATCTTGGGAGAAAACATGATTTTTCTGGACGATTAAACCATATTTGTTTGATTTCAGGGAGATCTGCAGAAGAGCATTCTTGAAGTATTAAGTGTAGTTTTGCAGACTTCACAGTCCAACAGTATTAACAGATGTAAAGTGGAATGCATGGACTATGGATGATCTCCTGATCTTGGCTGTGCTTTTGAAAACTGTCACGCCCAAATACTTGGTACCTCTTTTCTTTTTTCCTCTGGCACGGAATTATCAGAGCTTATTCTAATTCTTTCCTGCAAAATCAAATCAATTCAGTTTTATCTCAGAATTTCCCAGCCTTAGCTACTTCACTACCCACAGTGAATTAAAGAGGCCATACGATCCATCCTGCTGGTATTTTTGTCAGTCACTGCCATTTTTTAATGAGGTAGTATAGTCTTTCACTGTGCAGAGTTGGAATTAAGACTGAAATTTCTTCCCCTTTGCCAGAACGTGTGGCTGATCCCCATAAATGTATTGTGGCACACTATGCCTTCTGATTGGTCCCCAGGGCAGGTTAGGTTTGAGCAGTGGGTGCTTTAGTGTTTTTTGTTGTTTGTTTGTTTTCTTATAAGCTTGATACTGATTAGCTTGTCAAGGAGGAAGGTATTTTTCCTCCTTTCACTTCTTTCATGTTCAACATCTGCTTGTTCAGTTCTTACAATGCTTTTATGTCCCAGTTGTCATTATCTCGGTTTTTTAATGTGTTTCTCTTCTGGGCAGCTGTACAGGTGGCAGTAGGTGAGAAGGAGAGAAAATTCTTTGATAACGTCAGAGGAGACCTTTGCTTGGTCTCAGTGTCCAACCAAAAAGTACTGATTATAAGGAATGTCAGGCTTTGTACTGAAAGCTCTGTTCTGAAACATTCTTGGTTGCGCTGTGGAGTAGTAAACATACAATGCCTCAGCATTAGGAGTAGTCTGTTTTGATCAAGCCACAGGGAAGCTAAAAATTTATAGAAACTCTACACTTTTCCATTCAAAGACTGCTGAAGAAGCAAAATACACTTTCATCAACACTTAGAACTCAGGCTAGACTTGCAAAATCAATGAATGTTAACCCAGGTGGCAACTAAAAACCATTATTGTTCTCCTTGAAAGCCTTAAAGGAAATGGTGTCCCGCTTGTTAAAGGAAAGATGCCTGGCAAAGTGATGCAAGGTGATGGACATGAAGCATAAGGGGAAAAAGCATGAAATTATTTTCTTCCTACCTAAGTAATTAAGTATACGAAGCTGTTCTTGCTGGGGAAGTGAACATCCGGTTCCTCCCAGGAATTGGAACTATGTAAGCATTTAATTCTAGAAAAGAATCCTGTCTGCTGAAGTTTTTTTTGAGAACTTTTACTTCAGGATAACTGTTTTCTGTACCACACTTAAAAAGTTCACAGATGAACTACTTGTGTAGGGACAGAACACTTCTCTTAAAGCTTTGGATAAAAGCCTGCATAATTCATTTGAGAAAACTAATGCAGTAATTTTCCAAATTCAGTATTAATACATGTGTATTACTGCCTGTAAAGTTAGCTTATGCTTACAGTGCGCACAAAGGTTGACTGCTTTATTTCCTACCTGTCTGGAATTGGTGTATGTCAGTATTTAAATGTCTGAGCTTTCTATGGGAAAAAGTAATGTTTATGTCCTGAAATACTTAATGAAATTGCACTCTTCCTATTAGGACTTTTCAGTCTACATTTATTTCTTGTAACTTGTTGCTTATGCCCTTCTTCATTCTCAAATTATTCTGTGAAATGAATGTCTACTCGCCTAAGTTACAGGAATATTTTGAGACTGTAAGATGTTTTCAGAAGCCCAAATGAACGCACTGTAAACTCAAACTACTACTGCTCTTCTGCATAAGAAAACCATAACTTCTGGAAAAGTGTTGTAGAGATAGATGTTAAGTTTGTTTCATAATGTGTACTGATACTACAATGCTAGAAAGAGGAGGTGGGAACAGAATATTGTTGGAATTTTGATTAAAGCTGTGTTTTTCGCCTGTACTGTTGTAATTAGAGTTGCTGTTTCCTCATGGGTAAACACTAAAGATGAGGATTTTCTTTTATAAAATTAAAATTTTGGGTGGATCAAACTTGATGAATATTTCCTGAAGTCTCCTAGGAAGCTTGAAGGGGAGAAATCTTCCCACAATAACAAACTGGTACTAGATAGGCCTTGTCTTAGACTTAGGAACAACAGAAACTTATTTCTGGTCTTGGAATGTGAGAGCAGTCTGCATACAGGTGTCTAAAGTTCCTATTTTTTAAATTGTAATATGCAGATGCAGCCAAACATCAGCACAGACAGAAAGCTTTGTATCTGCTATTCCAGCAGCATTAAGTTATACTTCACTTTATAGCTGTTCTGTTTTGCCTGTGTATGCGGAGAAGAATGAAGGCAAATAAAAAGTTACTCAAATACATCACAAAACGTAGTTGTATGTAGTTCCCTAAGGTAGCTTTAGAAAAGCTTATTTCTGAGTATCAAGCACTTTAGACTTTCCTTTGAAAGGCTTATGAACAATTTGAAGATTCTTTAAGCTTAATTTTAATGCTCTGTTCTTTACAGTAAACTCTGAAATAATGCTTATTTGTCAAACTTTATGTTCTCCTCAGTCTGGAAGTACAAGCAAAAATGTTTTGCAGTATTGTGTTCTCAGTGTTGCAATATCTGGACCTGAAAAATCAGAAGTGTGGGTGCTTTGTCTTTCCTTAAATATCCTCCAAAACCATTTATTTTTTTGTGATCCTTGAGTCATCAGGCAAAGGGTGGGTTCCTGTTTTCAATGAGTTGTTCTTTAGGGAGAGACTTGTGAATGGAGAAAGGAATGTCTTCATAATTCTGCTGTGTTCACTTTGGCCTCAAGAAATGCTAGTTCTGCATAACATGCTCCACAGTTTCATTGTTTTAAGAAAGTTCACTGCCACCAGAATTTATTTTCTTTGAGACTGTGGTGTGAGGTGAATTCTTTCATTTGAAGAACAGCGTGGTTTGTAATTAATTTGTGCAATTGTTTTGGCTACTGTAACGTGGAAGGGTAGAGCCGGAAGGGCGTGCTCCTGGAATCTTGGATACAGAGTGAAATCAAAGTGGAATTTACAGTTCCTTCTTTGGTTAGTAATCATTATGTTTTCATATTACGTGGCATCTTTATACTAATAAATCTAGCAAGGAAGATACACTAACCACTTGCACACAGTACAAAAATCTACATGTTAAACTCAGTTCCCATAAACCGGGCTCAGTGCTTGTAATGAGGCCAATACGACAGATCTTTGGCACTACTGTTGTGCTTTTCAGACAGACTGTGACAGTTACAAATCATCTTAATCTTTTCCTATTTCAAGTTAATAATTATTTTAGATAGTTTGCTCATTTTAATCTCGTACATCCTCTACGCTGCATGAACCTTCTGTACAGATCGTGGGGAGCACGCTCCTTAGGGATGACCTGTTGGTGGCAGTTGGTGCTAGCTGATGGGGTCTCGTTGCTCACCCAACCTGTCCGTGTGGAGCTCTGCTGTGAAGATTATGACAGCGTGGCTGCGGTCAGGATCAGCGTTGATGCAAACGTGATACTTAATGGCAATTCAGAAATCCATGTCATGATTTAAATCTTAACTCCCTTATATCGTGCTAGAAATGCATGCTCTGCTTCTTGAGAGCCTTCCTAGTTTCTCTTCAGCTGTATTTCTTCTGCTCAGTTTTCATGCCCGGACTTTGAATGGAGGCAGCGCTGAGGGGAGCGTTTTCTTTTCCTCGTCTCTCGTTCGCTTCCAGCTTTCTGCCCTGGACAAGGACCAGTCCTGGAGTTTGGGCTAGCGCCAGACAACCGATCCAGATACGAACGTGTGCGTCGCTCGTACTTCACACCGACGTTACTCCGTTTTTTGAGGAAGCGTTCAGAACTAAAGCACGTTAAACGTGTAACGTTGCAGTTCTGTGCAACTCCTACGACTTTTCTTTCCCCTGCCACGGAGGTTGTTGCCTCACACTTTCACAGCAGGTTACGTGATACCGGGCCAACTTCAGCCCTAAGGGCGTTTTTCTTTAAGTCGCCTCACCCACCCGGGGCCACAGTACCGCGGACGGGCATAAGACGCCACAGCATCACAGCCGCCCGCCCCGCCCCGCCCTGCCGCCCTCAGCCAGGCTCAGCGCGCAGCCGCAGTGCGGCCCCGGCGCTCACGGCCGGAAGCGCGGCCTCTGCTTCCGTGCCGAGGGCCGGCGGAGGCGGGAATGCTCGAGTGGAGCCGGGCAGCCATGGACAGGTGAGTAGCGGCGGCGGGGCCGCCGGTTCCCCGCTGTCCTCCGCCGTCACCAGCGCCGGGCGGGTTGAGTGGCGGCGTCTCGCGGCCCTCCGTGCGGCTGATCCTCCCCGCGGCATCCAGAGGAGCCGTGCCAACCTCATGTAGTGCAGTGGGATAGTATTATACGTTGTGTTTATGTAAGACTTAGATTCAACTTTATGCTGTTGTGTTGTTTGGTTTTTTGGTTTTTTTTTTCCCTCTTGCGCGTTTTTCTTGAAGGGAGCATATAAACAGGAGGGGGAATGGCTGTTTACAAGGGCAGATAGTGATAGGACAAGGGGAAATGGTTTTAAACTGAGACGGGGG